AAAAAAAAAAACGGAATTCAGTGAAATGAAGATGAATCAAAAAAAAAAAAATTTTCATTCATCTTTATTGCGTTCTGGAAAAAAAAAAAAAACAAATTGTCTCTAAATAGCCGCTATTAAAAAAAAAAAAATTTGATTTTATTTCATGTTTTTCCTGCAAAAAAAAAAAAATGAACCATGAAAAGACATCATACCTTTAAAAAAAAAAAAAATCACTAATGGCATTGTGACACATTTTAAAAAAAAAAAAAATCAATATGTATATAATAGATCGATATAAAAAAAAAAAAAAGAACATAACATGGTCGCTTTTCGCTGAAAAAAAAAAAAAGATATCGACTGAACAATTTAATTGAAGAAAAAAAAAAAAAATTTTCGCGCGCCCATGTAATATCCTCAAAAAAAAAAAAAGAATTGCTGACTCACCTTGATAATCGGATTTCAAGTTTATCTCGTCCTTGCTATCTTCAGGCAAGAAAAAAAAAAAAAAAGCCCTCGCGTGGACATCAGCGCCGTAGAAAAAAAAAAAAAGTTTAACAGACTCTAAATCACCGTTGAAAAAAAAAAAAAATAGACTTGTTTCGCCTATGAAATAAAAAAAAAAAAAAAAAAAAATTGACATTCGAATTTCCTGCTCTAAAAAAAAAAAAAAGTCAACTATTCTTCGTTTCCATGTTAAAAAAAAAAAAAAATCTTGGTTGAACTTTAACTAAGAATTTCTCATTAGTATCTATTGTTCATTCAACCAACATGGCCGCAAAAAAAAAAAAATAAAAACGATCAATTAACTTGAAGATAAAAAAAAAAAAAAAAGTGAAGTTTATCAGACGTTTATCATAAAAAAAAAAAAATGTCTCATCAAGACAAGGCGTGTTTTAAAAAAAAAAAAAAAAGTTGATAATCCAACAGCATCCCTTTAAAAAAAAAAAAAATGTTTGAAAATAGAAATACATCGTAAAAAAAAAAAAAAATTACTCTTTTATTATTCCTTTATACTAAAAAAAAAAAAAAATTGCAAAAATCGACTTTTAAACCGATAAAAAAAAAAAAAATTGCGAATGGATATTCGAAGTCACCTAAAAAAAAAAAAAACCCTACTGAATGCTGGTTGACCATGTAAAAAAAAAAAAATACAAATGAAAAAAGCGGCAGTATTCCAAAAAAAAAAAAAATGCCTCATCATTATCAGGTCATAACAAAAAAAAAAAAAAAGAGCTGCACAAGAATGACATACCATAAAAAAAAAAAAAATCATATTTATCCCAGGCCATAGCAGGATACTGCCAGAGCAGAGTGTGTGCTATCTTAGTATGCAAATAAAAAAAAAAAAACAGGAAGCACACGTGCAGTGGGGTCTCAAAAAAAAAAAAACGGTGATCCAAAGACCAGCATGCTTTGAAAAAAAAAAAAATGGATTCCTCTTCTTTGTCCTGTGGAAAAAAAAAAAAAAATTCGTCTAGCCTTGTCCCCAGGATTTAAAAAAAAAAAAAAGTTCCCAGGCTACACATTAGACTGCTCAAAAAAAAAAAAACAAAATAGCGAGTGGTTTTTGGCGATTAAAAAAAAAAAAAAAGCATGAAATCGTCTAAAACTTGCAGAAAAAAAAAAAAAAACACTTCTCAACAATCGGCCATTTTGAAAAAAAAAAAAAATGGCATGGATTCGCTAAAGGAAGCCCAAAAAAAAAAAAAACAGGGATCCCGCACGAAGGACATACAAAAAAAAAAAAAAGAAAGGAATGGGGAGTTGGAAATCTCGAAAAAAAAAAAAACTGTGTAATTAATTGCTCTTCCCTACCAAAAAAAAAAAAATTTTTGCTCTCTTCCAATGCTTGTATTAAAAAAAAAAAAAAGTCTTCCCATCACCGCCATTGTAAAGAAAAAAAAAAAAAATCTTTTGACGACAAATCAAGTTATTTAAAAAAAAAAAAACATTCTTTTTAAATTCCTAAAAAGTGAAAAAAAAAAAAAATTATTTGGTGTTAAGGGCCGGTTCACAAAAAAAAAAAAAAAGAAACCGATGAAGAAGCTTCTTCACAAAAAAAAAAAAAATGTTCTTCTGCTTATGATGGTTTAGACAAAAAAAAAAAAAACACAAACAGAAGCAGAAGAAAATGAAAAAAAAAAAAAAATTGCCTTCTCCTGCGCATTTCTCGGCCAAAAAAAAAAAAAGAGAGTTTGCTGCCTTAAATTTTGTATAAAAAAAAAAAAATAACAAAGAGAGTTTTGCTTTTTTCGCAAAAAAAAAAAAAAAAGTTGTAAAGTTCGTAGCTTTTCTCTCCGCTTATTTGCTCAAATTGTCGTTTTCGTTCTTGGTCCAAAAAAAAAAAAATTATTTTGATTTTCAAAGACTTCATTTAAAAAAAAAAAAATTATCTGAAAAACAGCAAACACGACAAAAAAAAAAAAAAAGTTTTGCGATCTCTTTGCAGTTCTTTAAAAAAAAAAAAAATCAATAATCTTTTTCACGTTTCCTGCGAAAAAAAAAAAAATAGCCGTGCCTTTGCATCATAGCGAGAAAAAAAAAAAAAACGCAATGATAGAAACCTTCTTTCTCAAAAAAAAAAAAAAATTATCAGGTATCTATCATTGCACGCTCAAAAAAAAAAAAACTTCAATCCAAAGGCATGGCTACCTCAAAAAAAAAAAAAAAGGGAATCGTGAAGGAGACTATTGTATAAAAAAAAAAAAATCAGCAGAAATTCGATAATCTCATGAGAAAAAAAAAAAAATCCATTGAATTCTGAAGTCATAGACCTAAAAAAAAAAAAAGGACTGTTACTAAATAAACGATTATGGAAAAAAAAAAAAATGGAGGATAAAAAAGATTGCTCTAAAAAAAAAAAAAAAAATGACACACGCAAAATACTTCTAACTGGAAAAAAAAAAAAAGTTCACTGCAAGATGTTAAATTTTATAAAAAAAAAAAAAAAATCGCTGTATGGGTTCACACATTATTAAAAAAAAAAAAAAAAGCCGAAAGGGAGTATGGCAACGCAAAAAAAAAAAAAACAGAATGCCGTCTGC